TCCCTTCTACACTGATCCAATAGCCTAATGTCACCCAGCTAGCTTCACGATGTAGAGATAGAACCTACCTCCTCTAAATGGGTTTGACCCATTGGCACACTAAGTCGACAAGTCAATGGTCATGCACTTGCCTCCCAAATATTGCCTAGGTGGACACCTAGAAGGCAGGGGTACGATCTCCTCGTTCACCTAACTAAGCTCCTAAATAATCATTCATATTCATACACACCAATCCATGTCATCCATACTTAAACAAAGGAAAGTACTCATTAGTATTAGAAAAAACCTAGCCAACACATGGAACTACAAATCAAGCACATAGAACATGAATATAGAGTGACAAACACTAGGCAAACTCAATTAAAATCACATGCAAGAAGATAATAATTTCCATATCTCGTAGGTTTCAACCATGGCAAATGGGTCACAGACAAACACACTATTTGATGTGCAGAAAGAACAATCCTCAAATAGACATAGAAAGAAGGTTCAAAATCATCCAAAAGACATGCAATTTAAACATAACCCAAACAATATATATTTTTGGGTATGATACTATACCCTAATCTCTAATTGGTGAACCACAGTCCCTAAATTTCTATCCCAACCCATGAGATTCATTTAACCTTAATATAAAAATCAACAATAATTTTGACGAATCAGAATCGTTGATTTTCATTTCAAGATTAAATGAATATTATGTTGTGGGTTAGTGAATTGGGGACTGGTGTTCACGCATTAGGGGTTAGGGTACAGTATCATTCCCCAATACCCAATTAATTCATTGTCTAAATAATAAAACTGAACAGGCGTACGACAAGTAAAGGGAGGCATAGGCGCAAGTTTGGGGTTAATCGGAGGTCGTTTGGTCACTCAAAAGCCTCTCAAAAGTGGAGCTGAGAAAGAAACACGGGCAACCTTCCCTAAAACACGACTGTGTTTCACTCAGCACCCTGCATGTTTTTTTATGCCGAGCATGGTGACAATCCTAGAGGTAAACACGGGCGGGTTTCCATAAGAACACGGTCATGTTCCTCCAGCACAACGGCTGTGCTTTTTAGTGAGATCGTGGCTTGTGAAAATCGTTGAAGGGATGCAAAACACGGGCAAGTCTAGACAAGAACACGACCGTGTTTCAGATGGACACGACCGTGTTTCCCCATATGCGACGTGGAATTGGCCATCTCCTAGCTGAAGGAAAACACATGATCTGGTAAAAACGGGTGGACGAAAGCACGGCCTGAGAAACACAAATGTATATTTACCCTTGTTCGGGTATAAGTCTGTTTCTGCAATTTTTATGGAGGGAGATCTGGGTTTTGGATCTCAAACACCCAAGGGATGAACCCTAGAAGAGAGCGACTTGAGAACATTCTTGGAGCTATTTTGGAGGATTTCTTCGCCATTTGAGATCGGGAAACAAGCTTGGAGATGGAGATAGAAGATCTAGATTAGATTTTCGCATTCTCTCTATTCTCTATGGAGTAACTTCACTTCACTTAGGTTTTGAAGAACCCTAGTTCCATGTGTTAGGATCTTTCTTGTATGAACTTTTGGATGCTATACTGTTTGATTTTAATCAATTGAGGCATGATTTGTTGAGTCAATTGGATCCTGATCATATTCTCTTAATTTCTGCTTTAACCTATGATAGATATAATCTTATTAGGTTAAGAGTGCTTCTTCGATCGATAGTGGTGAATTGATTGTACGAGAGTCAGTCAATTCACTACTTTGTATTGGAATTCATTCCAAGTAGTGGAGATCTGTATAAATTGCCTTAGCATTCTATCCTGGCGAAGGTTAGTTGCCTACCAGGCATTCTGTCTAAGAGGGCTTGGCCAACTTAAGAGATTCCAAGTTACTTTCGGATCTTCCGCAGTCTAATCAACAGTAAAACAACCAAAAGGAATTACAACTTGGACCTAATTGAGGAGCTAGGGAAAATCATACCTAAGTGAGTTCCCAACCTGTAATTAGATTAACTTTAACTGTAGTTTGCTAGAGTAGTTATAGTTCTTGTATCTTAATCTTGTTTGCTAGATAATGAAATGAAGCTGAGTAATAGTAACTCTAGAGAACCGTAGATTCGATATTTATTACTTGTGCCACTATACAACAGTCTCCTTAATTTCCACCCATTCTTTCCACTTGGGTGTTTTGTTTTTGTTGGTGCAGATCTGAAACATGGATCCTCATGGCTTCTCTAACCATTGGGGGTATAACCACCATCCGAGTGGTATTACCTCGAGACTTCCTGGAGCAATCAAGGAAGAGAATTCTATGGATTCGGGTTTGAGTACCAACCCCCTACTATGGGGAACAACCAGACCCTTGGGCACCTCAAGAACAATCTCGTTATCAAAAGAATTCCTCCCACAATCAGAAGGGACATCAGAGTTGGAGTTAGAGATGGCGTTCTTCACGGGCCATTCTGCAGAACCATGCTACACTCCCAAGAAGATCCGAACAAACAATTGAGACTTCTCGTGGAGCAGATTGCTAGAGACACCGAAAGATCATGCTCCAAGCTAGACCTTAATATCCAAACCATTGTCCAAATTGACTTCTCCTTTTTGTGAAACCTGTGAAACAGAGGAGACCCTCCTGAGTATAAAGAAGCACATAGAGGTCATTGAGAAAGCTTGTGCACAGTTTGCTCAAGACAACCTTCATGCTACCATACAAGCAGAGGAGGAGGAAGAAGAAGCCAATCACGAGGGTGTTGATGAGCATACAAATGTTGTCACGGAGAGTTCTCGTGATAATCATGATCAGGAATTTCCTATGGTGGCAAATCAAACCTTTCCCCATTTCTGCTCTGACATGTTGAGCTCGAGCAAGGAGATGCAAGAAGATCTCATCGTTGCTCTCCAATCCATTTTGGGAGAAGAAGAAGAGAGAGAAATGATGAGGGAAGAAGTTGAGGAGGATGAGGAAGAAAGCCAGGATGAGGGGATTCTTGATCTTTTCCAGGGGGGAATCAAATTATGAGGAAGGAATGGGGGTTGAAGATGCAATTGCCGTCCAAGCTGAGGACGAAGTTGAGGTGGAAGAGCCTTGCACTGGCCATCAATTACATGTGATATCTCCACCCAACTTCGAGGAGCTGCTTGGCAAAGACCCATTGTTTGATAGTTCACCTGATAAACGTCATGATCTTCCCTAAACAGATTCGAAAACACCACTAGCTTTAAATTACATCACTAAGACATGACCTGTGAGCTTCTAGGTGGGACGTAGAAAGACAAAAGAGGAAGGAGAATCCAATGCAAGCTAGGAATGAGGTGGGATAAAAAAAAAGGAGCAGAGAATTAACTACTTATGGATGGTAAGGATGGATTGAGACAAGGGAAGCTTGGAGGAAGGGAGAGTGAGGCAGAGGCACCTTTGATTTTCAACTTCAACTGAGGTCCAAAAATCCCACCTCTCACCCACTAGCTGCCATCGGCGCAATCACCACCGTTCACAACATCCCAAATTCACGATCTTCATAAGCCATTCCTTCTCCGAGGTGGAGCATAAGGGAGAGAGGTTCTCTAATTTATTGGAGCTAATAGCTGAGATTGGGAGAGAGCTAGAAAAGATCCATTTACGGATGAAGACCACACCTTTGGTTGCTTCTCCCGCCGACTCACCTGTCTCCTGATAGTGATGTCACTTCTTCCGAAAACTTTGCGGCCCGAATTTCTTTGTTGTCGTTCAACGCTGTCTTCCATCTCCTCTGCGACCCCTACTGATGGCTATGTGTTGCTGGTTGCGGTTCTAATGCATTAGGGCGCCGCCACCTAAGATCCAATCATCTTATTGGAGTCTCAGATCTGGCCTTTGATATGATTGTGGACTGTCGCGTTTTCTTCTTCTCCATCCCGGTTCGTCGAGAAATTAGTGAAGGAAGCCACTGAGGAATCCATTTAGGGAGGACCTGGCGTTTATCAGGTTAACTATCGAACAAAGAGGAAGAGGAAGAAAGTCGGGAGGAAGGAGGCACGATCAAAGAAGAGGATAAGTGGATCTGTTTTAGATTTAGGGATTTAATTTGTGTGGGTCGATTCACAAATCAGGTTTGGTTAGAGAGTTGGGTTGGTCCATATGACATGGCGGGTCTTACTGACGTGTCGGGTCGGGTCTCTCTACTTTGGGTTAAATAAGGCTAATTGGACGATTCTGTCCGTCATGCCAACACTTATGGTCCTTGTTAATGGAGATGGACGACGACTAACAAATATTGAGCAAACGTGAATGTCTTCACTAAAATTAGTGACCACCAATGGATTTAAATATTTTCATTGAACAAAAATGAACCTTTTTTTTATAATCTCAGTACCAACCATGCAATTAACCCATAAATAATCTAATTAAAATAACAAATACGAGAAATTGTTTGTTTCCACCAGGCGTCACTACAAAAAAGACAATCAGTTATGACCAGGCAATTGCCGTTGGAAAAAACCTATTTTCGTTGGAAATATGACCTTTTACGACGAAATACGATCATTGGTCATCATGGTAAAAAGTCTCATCGCAAAAAGTGTAAAAAGTAAGGGCGTCATAACAATATTTTTTGTGAGAAACATTTGTCTCTCGCTACACATAATCTCGTTGTCAGAAATAAATTATACTTGATGCTAAAAAAATGACCGAAGTTTATTTGCGATGGAGATTTGTTTTGTTTTGACATACACATGTTGTGAGAAATAAATAATTATATGAACAAATATTTGATTTTATTTTAGAGGGAATTGGCTCATTGAAAAAATCTGAAAATTGGATCAAAAATTTATTTCAAAAAATACCCTTTTTATTTCCGTATATAATTTAGCGTCGGAATAATAAATTTGCCGTATATAAAATTAGTTGTGATGAAACTGAATTCATTAAGAATAGATCTTTTATCTTCCAAAAATACCCTTTTATTTTTTTTTATCACAGTGTGGCATAAAAAAACTTTATTAAAATGGGGACAATTTTGCATTTTCCAGAGTACCCTTTGGTATTTTCCGACAATCACGAACTTTATTATTAATGATAATTTTCTTGATCAGGGTTCCGCTAAATCGAGGCCCTCTCATATATATTGCCACTAGTGTACAACAATTAACAAGAGCAGTGTCAGATTACATTACAATCTCTAATTCAACACGAACAAATAAGGGCAAGACTAGAAATCGTAATCTGTTGGTACAATCCGCTGTCCTGCTCTGTTTCCTTTCCCTCGCCATCAAAACTAATAAAAAATCAAAATCCACAAACAAACCCACATGAGAGCCAAATCCTAGATTAATCTGTAAAATGAAAGAAAAACCAATTAGATCGATTGGCCTCCCGGCCGCCATCATCGAGGATTTCACCATCGCTATCGCTGGCGAGTTTTGTTGCCTACGATTCCTTTTCCAACTTTCCTCTCCTCGTCCGAAACCTCCACCAAAAACCCAGAACGCAAAGCGAAAGCGTTAGAACGCTAAAAACCCCCTAAACAAGTATCGAACGAAAAATACATGGATTAACCTTACCTCTGTAGCCATCATCCCCGGCGTCAGTCCGTGCCATTGGCCTCATGTTCCTTCCTACTTCCTCCTCGTCATTTCCAAAACAGAGAAAAGACAAAGCCAGATCTAGAGAGTGAGAAATAGAGAGGGTAGCGGGATTTTCGAGCATAGAGAACGAGAGGGAGAGGCGACCATTCAGGGTTGTGGTTTAGAGGAGGCTAGGGTTTGCTTCTATGTTGGTCTCTAAGAGATGTTTATATACCCTTCCATTTTTTGATAATTTACCCGTCGCATCAATCCTTGCAAAAGGAAAAAAAAAAAAAAAGCATTGGCATTACTGGTATGTGAAATTTATTGGCTAAGGATCTTGCTCGGAGAAATGAATGTGAAAATAGTAAAATACCACTTCATGTACTTCCGATGAGAGGTTTTTCTAGTGATGTCACTCCTTCTGTTGCTTCTCCCTCGGCTCCTCCACTGCCCCCGCCAACTCGCCGTCTCCTGATAGTGAATTTACTCCTTCCAAAAACTTTATTGATGTGCCAGTCAATCATTATAGTTGACCGTTAAATTAGTGACGTGACTATTGAAAAAATGATCAAACATAAAGTTAATCTTTTTAACTTTACACCTATTTTTCACAACTATTAAAAATACATAGAAAGCCAAAAACTTTTTGTTACCCGCCGCCAACGAACCCTCCGCTTATCCTCTGGTAATTAGCGGACCACCATTTCAGGTCGCCAAGGAGCGGTTGACGTATTGTTGTTGGCCCGGATTGCACACTTCTTCTCTCCTTCCTTCCCCTGTTCATTTGTCACCTTCGCTACCTTCTCGCGTGCAGACAAGCTCGGTCAAATCGCAGACTGGACTCGAACACTCCGAATGCTGGAAAGCCTAACGCCGGGCAGAACGCATCCAATTCGAGAAGAACGTAACACATCCAATTTGGGCGAAAAGAGAAGAAACAGTACAAACACACAGAGAGGCTCAACCAAGCAGCGGAGAAGAGGAAATGAGCTCAACAACCAACCATGGCGGCAACTATTTTATCTCCCTGAGCCAAGCCCGGCGCGTGGGATCTGGACGCCGAGAATATTGGGAATGAATAGTTTTGAAAGCTATAATGAATTAATTATCGAGTATTCTTTTTAGATATGAAAATAATATGGATAATTAATAAAAAGAATATTATGGGGATAATTATGATTAATTATCTTAATATAATGCATTTTAATTATGGGAGTAATTATCTTCCTAATTAAAATGTGACTTATTCCCAAAGAAAGAGGGAATATTCTGGGTTTTCTGCTCCTATAAATAGCAAACCCCTAGACCCTCTAAACACACCTCAGAGAGCAGAAATACGAGAGAGAGTGAGTTCATAGAGCTCCGATTTTCGCACAAAACCAATGAGCAACAAAATTAGAGTTGTTGTTTTATCCTGGAGGCGACCGGTTGATAGTCGCAATACGAGGCAGTGCCGCGAACGTCTTCAAGAGGGCGACCTAATCTGCGACTCAACCAGATTCGATAAGCCTAAATTTTCTGTTCGATTCTAGCAATTTTAAGACGTTCTGTTACTGCCATATGTACCGAACAGGATGTCAATTTGATCTCAACCGATTATGGCGTTCATGGTCGCTCTACTCATCAGATCTATTTCTTCCGCCTGCCCTTTCGGTGTAACTGACTGGTTTAGGGTGGTAATGATGATGTGTTTCTCTGCTAAAGCTGCGAGAAACTAGGTCATATGACACGAAAGTATAAGAACAAGTTTAACCTAGTGTAAACTTGACTAAAGAAGAGGATTTGGTGGTAATGATAACTGAGGTGATGACAGAGGTAGGCCATAATGGTGACTCTGAAGAATGGTGGTTGGATGGTGCCTCGAGGCATGTGTGTGATAAAGGAGCTAACCTCAATCATACATAGAGATGTATCGAAGGAGAAAGTGTTGTTGGTGATTGTTGTCACCACTATTGTCTATGGTTCTGGGAAAGTGGAGTGAATCTTACATTTAGAAATTTGTTAGATATGCTAGACGAAAGGGATGATTAAATGAATTCTTCTGTGTGACATGTGTGTGCTTGTGAAGAATTAGAATATCGGAGGTCACATTCCCATATTTTTCTTGAACACTTGAGATAAATTTTGTATCCAAGCTAAATGGCCCACTTTGTTAAAAAAAAAAGCTAAATGGCCCATAAACATGAGGTTAGAGAATGAGAATCGAAAGCTCTTATTTATTTTTATGGCTAAACGTATTGGAAAGGCAATAAACGATCACTACAATTATATCTACTTGTAGCCACAAAAACATAGCTACGAATAATACTTCATAGCTAATAACAAGTAGTTGCTTCAAAAATACCATCTTGTGGCTATTAATAATTATTATTCTAGTCACGAATATGTTTTCCCATAGCTAATTATATAATTTCGATATAAAGTATATACACCATGGCAATAAGTAACCCATTAGCTACAAAGTTTTCGCTACTGTTTTTTTTTTTTACCAATAGATCACTTGTATTACCAAGGCAAACAGCTAGAAAAGTTTACATCTCAAAAGCAAACCAACGATAAAAATCAAACGTATCTACACTCGCAGGCAACAAAGAAAGGGTCTTCCTAGCCACCTCATGGGCCACCCGATTGTTACTTCTGCCAACAAATGCCACCTCAAAACGCTGGTAGAAATGCCGTAGCTTCCGAATTTCTTCCAGAATCCGCCCGCCTTTCACATCCCGAGCATCCCTGGTATGGATTTTGTCAATAGCCACCTTCGCATCCCCGCAGAATTGCACTTCAACTAAGCCCTTCAAAGAGCACCACTGAACTGCATCACGAAACGCCACCAACTCGACCAGAAAGGGATCCACCAAACCTGCATACCGAAAACCTTGAACAAAACATACCCTGCCCAACCCATCATACACCACCATTCCCCCAGCTCCATGAGACCCATCAAGAACAGCACCATCCACAAAACAACGATACGGCAAGGTAGGCTGCAATCCCCTAACCCCACCAGACTCACCGCGCCCTTGCTGCTCCTGAACCTGCTTATAATCACCAGACTCAATCAACGCCAACCACTCCCGAACCTGCTCCTCAAACTGTTGCACCAATGTACACATCCCAAACTGGACCTGATCGAACACCACCCAATTCCGACTTTTCCAAATCCTCCACAGCAATGCCACAAATCGAATTATCCTTTCTACATTGGTTTCTTGTTCAAAAAATCTTCGAAGGAACAAAGCAAAATTCACTGGAGGCTGCCTCACCATACCTATCCCCAAACCCGACCTCTCCCATAACTCCAATGCCAACCGACAAGACAAAAACATATGTTCTAATGTCTCTAACGGTTCCCAGCACACCGGACACTTGGGGTCCACCGCCGCACCATGCCCATCAATACCAGGATCAAGCTCACGATCCTCCGGTAATCTACCTGTCCTCTCAATTATAGTTTCCATAGTCGGAAGGATCCTCTTCATGCACTGCCAAAGAAAATTTTTCAATTTCGGAGGAATGGGTAGCCCCCACAGCTTTTTCCAACATTGCACATCAAAAAAGGATACCTCAGCCTTCCACTCCTGCACCCTTTTAGCAGTTTGAACAGCCATATGATACCCTGACTTCACCGTATATTCCCCATCTCCTGAACCCATCCAGACTTGACAATCCTCCACCTCACCCTTTGGCAGCGGTATAGCCTGAATAGCCTGGACTACCGGCCTAGGGAAGCACTGATTAAGGCACTCCACACACCATTCACCCTTACCAGGGATGATCAACGAATCTACCTTCACTCCTGTCAAGTCTGGCGCCGCAACCTGTAACTCAATTGCCCCCGATTCAACTCCTGGGATCCAGTTATCCTCCATGATACGGACTTGAGATCCACTCCCAATCTGCCATCGAAGAACTTTAACAAGCAGATCCCTGCCATGGAGGATACCAATCCACCCCCAAGATGGCCTTGATCGTCGAGTCGCTGACAGAATCGACTCCTGTGGAAAATACTTCCCTTTTAATACCCTTGCTAGAAGTGATTCCGGTTCCTTCCAAATCCTCCAGGCTACCTTGGCCAACAAGGCCTGGTTAAAATCCTCGAACCTCCTAAATCCCAAGCCACCGTCAAACTTACTCCGGCATAAGTTACGCCATGAAATCCAGTGCGCCTTTTCCTTGTCTCCCGCAAATCCCCACCAGAACCGCGCCATGTACTTATCCAGTTTACGACATAGAGTCACTGGCAAGAGAAAGCAAGACATGACATAAATCGGAAGTGCTGCAGCAACCGACTTGAGCAGCACTTCCTTCGCCGCCCAGGACAATTTCTTCTGCTTCCACCCCTGGAGCTTTGCCAGTAATCTCTCCTCCAAGTATCGGAACGTTTCCAGCTTTGATCGCTGCACCAGGGACGGCATTCCTAAGTACTTATCTTGAACACCGATCGCTCCTACTCCTAATATGGTCGCCATCTCCGTTTCTTCCGATGGATCCACATTCTCACTAAAACATACTGCAGATTTACTCAAATTCACCTTCTGCCCACTCATATCCTGGTATTCCTGCAGCAGGCTAAGAAGCGTCTCACATTCATGCCGGGACGCCCGAAAGAACAAGTATGAATCATCAGCAAAAAACAGATGAGACACACTGGGACTCTGAGGATTAACCTTGACCCCGACTAATCTTTTCACCTGTACTGCCTTTCTGATTAATGCCGCAAACCCTTCAGAGCATATAGCAAATAGTAACAGAGATAAAGGATCTCCCTGCCGTAGTCCCCTTGTCGATTTAAAATACCCCGCCGGTGTACCATTCATCATCACAGAGAATGTTGCAGTAGAAACACATTCCTGTACCCACCCAATCCATTGTGCATTAAACCCCATCTTAGACATAATTGCAAACAAAAAAGGCCACTCAACTCTATCATAGGCCTTTTCCATGTCAACCTTCAGAGCTAAGTAGCCTTTTTTCCCCTGCTTTTTAATCTTAAGATAGTGCATAATCTCATGCCCAATCAGCACATTATCTACAATCTGGTGTTCACGAATAAACCCATTCTGCTCTGGTGAGATAATAGAAGGCAAAATAAGGGCCATTCGCTCAGCCATGATTTTCGAAATAATTTTATAGAACATCTGACAAAGACTGATCGGACGAATCTGTTTCATAGTTTCAACCACG